CCCCACAAGGATAGGCACGCTATTCAACCGCGAGCAAGGTCCCTCTCAATGACGACAAAAGATGATAATACGTTAAATACTCTTGTTTTTGAGCTTCTCCTGAAAAGCTTAAGCTGATTCTCGTCACAAGCACCTGACACACCCAGAGGTCCTTTGTTGCTCCTGGTGACTTATTCTCGTCTGCTGCAAACTCTGAATGGAGTCGTCTGAGAAAACATGTTTTGATTTTCTGGTAATTTGTCTGTTCTCTCACTCGGGTACGGCTGTAATTTTTCATAGACTAACATTCACAGAAACAGTTGGTTTGATCTCAAATGTGCAGACCACAGAAAATTGTAAGCCTTTGTTGTTATTTTTGCTAAAGCGTTGCCTGCATATACCGCTTCGCGAACAAAAGAAAGGAGGAGCTGCAGAAGCTTTAATGTATATTTATTGTTCTGTGCACACATGTTAGTGTTTATATCACCTTGGCACATGATGGTGTGTGTGGAGGGAGAGGCTGGGCACACTTGGGTTAACCCTGTCTGCTCCAGTGGTTTATGTTGATGAGGGCCCCAGCAGTCATTTTAGTACTACCCAGAATCCCCATCAATGGCTGTCTGCTGGCAGCAAAGATGGCTTCTGGTTGTTTTCAGGTCATAGTCTGTTGTAAACATGGATCCAAATTATAGGATTGTGCTGAGCCCTACCATTGGAGTTAGTGGTGTCCCATTTCATGTTGCCAAGCTGGCTGTGCCACCAAAACCAGCCTTGAAGTGAGGTGGCTCCAACTGTAATGAGCCGTGATCTACAGCAAGGTTTCATACTTTCTCTTTGTGAATTGTTTGCCTCTGTGTAGGTGTAAGGTGCACCTTGTTTTTCTTGTAAGCTCCCTGAGAAAGATATTTCCTGCTCTGGTTCTCGCTGTGCAGGCACAGTTAACTTCAAGGTGATCTCTGATGTATTTGCCCCCCTCCTCTCATTCTGCACAGGTATTTAATCTAGTTCTCTTATAGCAAGTTCAAATGAAGTTTGCACATGAATGCCGTGTGAGTTTGGACCATGCCTGAGGACACACCAGGAATGTTATCTGCTCTCGGTCGGCGACTGAGCTCAGTTTCTCCACTGCAGTGCGCGTCAAGAAGAGATTTGATCTTTTCTTTTGCAGGCAGCATCCCTTACACCGGGAAGTCAGATTCCATTTCTCTTAAACATTTCTCTTGAAACCAAGGAGCCCAACTCAGATATGAATGAGAGGAAGATGGAGGGAGAGGAGCAGAGATGAGCTGTTTATTCACTGACCCAGTGGACTCGCAGAGAACAGTTATACAACAAGAGTACCTGTGACATAATCTCATTGGCTTGGAGGGGGGACACTTGTGCTTAGTAGAGGTACAGTTGTGCGTGCATGATGTATGATGTAACTCATTTTATGGGTAACTGGGTCACTGTGTTCGTTAGGGAAAAGCTTCCCTCATTACCCACCCACCCCCCGCTCTGCTCGCCCTCTACACATTCGGAGAAAGACAAACCACACCCTTGGCATGGCATGATGCCAGAGATGGGATAACCAATGGGTGGGTCCTGGCGTCACAGTCACTATGGTGCTGTGCTGTGACAACACTGGAAGTAGATAGGAAGAAAAGCTGGGTAAGCGGAGTAGCTTACCGCATTCTCCTTTCTACAGAAATGCTGAGTAATAGCTGCAGTCTATTGAAAAATTCTGAAAAGTGACACCCTCATACCACACAGGCTGATAGGCTCTATCATTATTTCCACTCATTATGAAAGCGTTTTGTTCCCTAAACCATCTCAATGTTAGCAGAATATGTTTACCAGCTTCATGGAAATCCCAATCCTGGTGTTACGAAACAACACTTGATTGGGAAGTTGCATGCTTTTCCTTTATGGGAGTTGATATTTCAAGGCTGGCAGGTTTTTTCTTTTATATTAATATTCATATTGTTGGCTTTACAACTCAAAGCTGCTCAGCGAGAGGTGAAAATGGGCACCACGTCTTTCTTTCTGCCCTTTCCAAGAAGTGACGGAGCTGCAAATAATTTGACCCATCTCAGAGAGTTGGATACCTGATGCTTCCACTACGCATTACTGTATCAGGGCAGATAGACTGGATATCTCAGTCTGGCTCTCTTGTGTCTGGTTAAATATTAATGTTGCCAGATCCGTTACACTGCTTATTTAGCTTTAAGCAGCCTGCAAAACTTAGCTGTGCTTTTAGGCCAATAACTAATTTTTGCGGTGCCAGGTGACAGCACCGGTCTCTTCTTTTAGTAATAAAGCAGTGAATGAAATCACTCCATTATGAGCCATGTCAACCAGATGAGCGCCTCACTGCTTACTATTTCTCCAGGAGCTCAAACAAACACAGTCACGTCGTTCTTTATACATTGTAACGCTGCATCACGCATGAAAGGATGTGTGTCCTTGTTAGCTTTGCTAAAAACTATAAATAGTTGCTATGAAAAGGGGACAGGGCTGTGTTTTGGTGCGCGTATGCAAATGTATGCATGTCAGTTACAGTGTTTAAATATACTGAGCCTTGTGTGAGCCTGCAGGAACTATAGTGGGCAGGGCTGACTGAGTTTGTCTGGAGCTGAGGTGAGGCGTCAGAGGCAGGAACACAGACCGGACTGTCTAGACTTGCACTGTCTGTCGGCGTGTTTTGTAACCATGCAGTGTATGGGGAGGTGGGGAGGTGGGGGGAAGGGACTGAGACTTGTGCACCGAGTTCTTGTTGTTGAGACTCTCTGGCATCAGGTAGCATTTGAGTGTTTGATGCTTAACAGCACTCTTTCCATTGTGGCCCAGAGGGAAACCACAGAACAAAGAAATCATTTGGCAGCCGTGTTCTGATGTGCCACCTATAAACATCCACACATCTCCTTCCATCTTTTCCCTTTCATACTTCAAATCCCTGCCATGGGCGTGCACATTATGATTGATTATTCTTATTCACTAGAAAGAGCCTAACCATTAGAAGAACACATCCTGCGGTTTCCTTTCGCTCTGTGAAGCCAAGCTGGTAAAATTAGACTGCTGGATTTCACTATTGTTGGGCAGGAGCTCAGTAAAATGGGGCCAAATGGAATATATTATTGACCAGTAGATGCAGGATGCTGCATTTAGGTTCACTGCATACTGTTTCCATATTAGTATGGTAGGAAAATGCAGGATATATTGCAGTATACTGTACCATATGGTCTTGAGTATATTTCTGTCAGAGCCCACTTTTATTGGCTGTTGGAGGAGGGGGAAGGTTGTAATTTCCCATGTGCCGAGTCACAGATAGTTGCATGCTAGAAAATGGGCTGGGTAACCATTGTGAGCGTGATTAGCATCTGGAGCTTAGATAATTAAACTGTGGCTGCTCCTCCAGTACTCTGCCAATTTGTAGGTGATTTACATCCAGGTCTTATCGCTCAAACCTCTTTTTTTTTTTTTGTTGCATGTTTCTTAACAGTTTGAAGTTATCTCTGTGGCTTTTAATATATTATGGAATAACCTTGTGACTGTTGTTCCAGGATGATTCAGTACTAGCACTGTGGTGAGCTGTTTATTATGTGGCAAGCACCATTTGTGTCACCAGAGTGCCGAAATATGCACACTTCATCATCAGTTAGTTTCATTTGATTTGAGTGAGACTCACCAAAGCCTCTGATACATGTGAAAAGCCCCGATGCATTAACATTAAACTGTATTTAAAAGGCTAACAACGTAAGCACTGGAGCAGCTTTGGCATGTTTCGGCTCATTTACCACAAATCACATATCCTGTAAAATCCCGACCCACTGTTCGCCCATTAGTTTTTAAAAGTATTTTCATTTCGATTCTTTTGTGTCGACCTTTACAGCGACCGCTGGCTCCCGTTTATTTCACTACAGTGGTAAAATCAGAATGCGGAGACTTGAAATGTGCTCGAAATAGCAACTCCATCATAACGCAGTGATCCCATCAAGTTATGCTTTGGCCCGAGTTACAAAGTTTGTGTTGAATTTTAAAGACGCTGGAAACCACAAATGGGTTTGAAAACATGCAATCATGTAAAACAGCAACTAGGCTGCTGGCAGGGTGACGCGTATGGGCATAAAACCATGGACTCGTTCTAAAGGATGAATACAACCACCTTGAAGTCACTCACTGGTTTCTGGTTTCTTGATTTATGGCCAAAACACTAGGTTTATGACCATCGCCATCTTGATTTTCCTGGAGCCATAATTTCTTAGCAAGCTTGATCAGCATACTGCATATATAGACTATATAAATGCAGCACGTAAAAAAATCCTGTCATTTCACTCACCTAAAATTCTTAGAAAAGCAAGCCATATTATATGTCAGCTTATTCCTGCAAAAGGCACCAAAACTGCAATCAAGGTCAGCCGGTGTTCTGGGAATCCATCCTACCTGCCAAACCATCCTACCTTTGTGAATGTGACCTACAAGCATACTTTGACGGGTAAAATGAAGTGGCAAACCGTCCTGGCTTTATGAATATGAGCTACAAGCACACTCTGATGGGCAAAGTTAAGTGGCAAACCGTCATACCTACTTAACTTTGTGCTGGAATTACTATGTGACAGCAGAAATGTGCATAAACTACTTACGGTAGGACATTTTGCCAAAGTAGGATGGTTTGTCAGAACACCGGTCCAGTTCATGTCTGAAATTAGCATAGATGAGACCTAGCAGGCTGCTGTGTGCTACTCCTGCCGGTATCAACACTACTGTCAAAGCAGCTACAGATCTAGCTTTAAGCCTTAATAAAATCCAAAAAGGTGCATTAAAAATGATCATTTCATCTCTGTGGTTGGGTATTTTTGCCATGAAAGTCTATGAGCATCTTGTGATTATTTGGTGGTTTTTAAAAGTGTCATTGGTTTCATTTTCTAAGCCCTAGTGCTGGTGCTTGCACGAAAACTGGGGAAATGATCAACTGAAATTGTCTTTAAAAAAAGCACGAATGTGGATATGGTTCGTCTGACGCTCTGCCTCTGTTTTTGCAGGAGAACGGCCTTTCCCATGCACCTGGCCCGACTGCATTAAGAAGTTCGCCCGCTCTGATGAGCTGGCCCGCCACTACCGCACCCACACGGGGGAGAAGAAGTTCGGTTGCCCCCTTTGCGAAAAGCGCTTCATGCGCAGCGACCACCTGATGAAGCACGCCCGGCGACACTCAGATTTCCAGCCAGGAATGCTGAAAAGACCCCACGGCGGCAGCGCCACACGTCCCAGCTCCCTCAGCGACTACAGCCGCTCAGATGCCTCCAGCCCCACCCTCAGCCCAGCCAACTCGCCTTAAACTGAAACCCGGTCGCACTTTTCTGCCTCGAGACTGTGAGGCCCGTGTTTTCATCATAACACTTTTGTTGCACAGTTGTCAGCTACCCCCCTTCCCCACCCTCCCCTTTGCTATTTCTGCGCTTGCTGTGGTGTACCATAATGTACATAACTGCTTATTGTAGTGCAATTACTTGCGTGATCCTAAAAGAAGATAATGCCTTTCCCAGATGGCAATATCTGCATTCAGTCTGTGTGTTTTTTTGGCTTCTGATCACGGCTACTTGTTAAATGTACGGTCGCAGTCAGCTAAACAAGGTCTAGACGAAGAAAAAAAAACAGACACCCTGACAGATCTTCGAAACATTTTTGTTTGTTTGTTTGTTTATTTTTGCTTTGATTTTATTCAATTTATTTTTGATTTTTTGAAAGGGTTAGGAGAAGGGGTACACACACACACACACACCTCAGGATTGAAGACAGTTGTGATTTCTGTAAGACCACAGTACTTAACAGTACTCACATTGACTGCACAATATATTCATCACTTTATTCTGAAATTCAACAGGGGTTGAATTTTACGCCCTGCTCAGGGATGGCCTTGTTAGCTTGAAAGAATGAACACGGTGAAGAGAAACATACAGTTCATATATAGCAGCCTTACACTCAACACAATTTGCACTCTTTGTTTTCTTTTTTTCTTCTTTTTTCGGCTCTCATATTTGAAAAAACTAGCCCCGCTGTCATGTGTAACGCATACACAAACATTTGTTTTCTCCCTCGTGTTTGGGGAGGGGTTTCATATTTAATGTGATTGCTGTGTAATAATGGAACAATCAGAAAGGCCCCGCCACAGAAAACAAAACCCAAATCTGTTTCTTTTTTGCAATGTTAATATCTATTGACATTACACTGGGTTAAATGTGTACTGCATGAAATGGTTGTGTGCAGTGTAAACTGTGTGAATCTGCACTGTAGAAGGATTGGGTTAAGAGTTTTCTTTGTATTTATGAAGTTAGAGAAACGTTCCAACCACAGAGACAGTCAAGTTTCAAAGCAGCTGTTCATGCTTGAAAAGGAAGAGAGAGAAAAAGAAAAAAGAAAAAGCCGCCTCATCAGCCTACATTTCACTCAAAACGGACACAAAGGGACTTAAGTTGAAACAAGGTTTAGCCATCTCTCAAGCACATCGGAAAAAGTACCAAAGACAAGAATGAATGAAAGCTTTTTATTCAGTCCTGTAAGCCACCTTTCACTGAGGCCTCGAGCTGCTGGTTGGCAGTATTGCAGGTAGAGCCAGATGCCGACTCACTTCCCTCCTCCTGGCTCTGCCTTTTGTGGCTTCCCTGGAGGAAACAGCTGCACCCAAAAGAAGCAATTCACAGCCTGCAGGAGGGGTGCTCGCATGCCATTCCCCAGGGAATCCTTACTCATCTGGCTCTACCTGTCCTGTCAAAAACCGGTAAAGCTCCGAGCCTGCTAAATTGCGTAAGGTTGCCCGACTTGTGGGTCAAATGTAGGCCACCGTGTTAGGCAGGCCTGAGCTGGGCTCTGCTGTGACACTGCAACATTGAGTACAGAAGGAAGAAAGCAGCTATCTGCTGTAAACAGGCAAGAGAGGGCAGGCCCTGATAAAAAAAAAAAGAAAAAAAAAAGAGGAGAGGTTTATCATGAGCTGAACAGCACAAAAGAGGAGACACCCAGTCGCAGACAACCCCCATTTCCTTCTCCTTCCCCAACTCCCCTCCTCCCACCAACTGTAGAAACAGCCAGCAGAAAAATGGCTGTAATTAGTGGGCTGATCCAAACTATAGGATAAGACTAAAAAGTCTATGAACAACAGTTCAAGCAGTGTGGGTGGGATGTATCCAGCTCCATCCCGAGCACAGACAGAAACCCCTGCTGCTGAGGAGTCAGATTTCACAATTCCAAGGAGGACGTAACAGCTCCAAAATTCATAAATCGGCGGTCTCAAACAGCTGCTTTCAAACTTCTTTCTCACAACGAGGGGGGCTTTTTAAAAACTTGTTGTCAAAACATCTGAACCAAAACGAACATATCAGCAAAAGTCCAGTGCTCACCAGCCTCACGTCGTCCTGCCTGTGAAGCTCAGATGTCCCGTGAGAAAGCTGACTTGTGTTTCTAGACAGACATGCCTCAATAGGTCAGGCGAAAGGCACAGTAAACCTTCCACGGAAACAGGCACGGCTATCAAAACTGCTGCTGCTGCGCCGCCAGTCTGTGTTATGCCTACATTTTCCTTTAATGCTTCAGCACTACAGTTGGAAATATGGTCAGCCTTTTAGCTCTGTCCCGTCAGACCCTTCCAGGCCGCTGTCATCACGAATCGCATGCGCTAGCTTCATCGTCTTGCCTCGCAGTCCCGTGCTTGACACTATATGCATGTTAACTTTGCCTTGAAAGCGTGGATCTTTCTTTCTTTTTTTCTTTTTTTTCCTTTGAGGCAGTCTGGCAGGTGGAAGTCCATGAATGGCAGACCTTGTCCCCCTCGTTCCTCACAGCAGCCATCGCTCTTTAAAGTTGTGATGAATCAGCTCTGTCACATTCTCGAGAAAGAAAACAGCCATTATTTCGATCGAATGCAGTAGTTTTCTCTCGCGACGCCACGTGCAGCATAATTTCTCTGCCAGATGTTTCAATGGGTTTCCAGACTGCAAGATGACACTTTGAATGCCACTGATCAGCAGCTCTGAGTGACAGAAGAAGCGAGAGGATTTCACACAGAAAAGAAGAAAAAAAATGCTGATTTTCACAAACTAATTCTCGAAATTGCTGTTGAACGGCTTTTTTGTGTCCATTGTCTTTTAAGTTTTAGGTTTGACCTGGTTTGCAGAGTAAATTTCTCTTGCAAAAAGCAAATATTTTCTCAGTTGCTCACCCTCAAGTAGGTTTCAGTAATCAGCTCTTAATCCATAATCTGCACATTTTCCTCAGGGTTGACATCTGCCAAGCAGATATGACACAGTTTGTGGATTTTGTTGTTAAATCAGTTACTGCACAGATAAAGTCTGCCAGCCTCCTCTGGTGGTCCTGGGTGCTTAGTGTTCACTGCTGGTCAGTGTCCGACCACACTGGAAACACAGGAATGCCTCGGCACAGGCTCGGCTCCTGCCTATTATGTCGTCATAAACCTACAGTCCCGCTATCGAGCACTCTGGAGTGAAATGTCCCTTTAAACACCTTTGACCCCTTAGTGTCAGTGGACTGTGTAAGGCAAACAGAGCTCCTACCATCTGAATTAAAGCGACTGTGACAGTCTAATCATCCCAGTATATCAATCCATCCAGACAGCACCGGTGACATAAAGGCGTCCACAGGCAGTTTCTCAAAACTTTTTCTCCTCACTGTACCAAATGTACTTGAATAATTCAAAAGAAAAGGCCATTGAACACAGTTTTGTACATGTCCATTTTTTACTGTACTTGTGTTTGTTGTCAAATAATTATTAACCTCTCTGTAGAAAGATGTATAGTCCGTGCTTTTCGTTTTTTTCCTTTTCGTTTTCCGAGATTTTGCATCGTCTTCAGGTCATTTCAGCTTTTGAATTTGGCGGTTTTCGCAGAGCAGTTCAAAGCACCGTTGATGCGGAAATCTCAATTTTAGCTCCATTCATGGGGTTCATCCCTTTAATCAGGAACAACTAATACTTTGTTGATGTCAGGATGCAGGTTATTGCAGTTAGCCTGTCGTCCAAAAAAAAGAAGAAGGAAGAAAGAAAATGAAAGTTTTAGGTTTGTTTGGGGTGATTATAAGTAAAGAAACTTAGTGACCTCTGTGTAAGTTGGTTTCAGATTTCGAGTGGCTATTTTTCTTTATTATTTTCAGAGCTTTCCATAAGAATAGAGACCACCGCATTGTGAGTTAGCAATGTAGTCTTACTTTTGTTTTGCTTTTTTTTTTTTGTCTCATGAAATATTTAAGGTTGTATATTTATCAAAACTCATACCTCTTGAAATACTTTTGTTGTACTTTAATATCTTTTCAAAACATCCATCATGTAGCTTGCATTTTCTTGACGAGTAGCACAAATATTTGTTGGTTTCATTTGTTCCTACTTGAATGAAAAAGTAAAGACGGAGAGACTTTTTTGTAAAAAAAAAAGAAAAAAAAAAAGAAAGAAAGAAACAAAAAAATAAATAACCAAAACACTGGGCTACATTTTATATAATCATTCGATAATGCCAAGTCCTGCACATACATCCTTGTGGATGCAAAAAAAGGTAATATTTCAAGGAATTTAAAAGCTGATTTTTCTGTTACAAAAATCTTAAAACATCCCTTCTCAATCTCATTTTCAGCTTTTGCTCATGTAATGGGGGTGATGTCATCTGTAAATTACTAGGAAACCTTATTTCAGCATTTCTTAATCCAACTTTATGATTGTTATCCCAGTAAGAATCGAGACTTCAACACCCGTGAGAGCAGAAGGACTTGCAGCCGCAACAAGATACTAACTGTTTACCAGTTAACATTTTCCTCTTGATTGTAACATATATTAAAAAAAAGTGAATTAAGTGTTGCCTAGTGTGTGAACAACTAACAATTTTATTTAAGGAGTTCATGTTAAAGACATCAGTATATCTCACAGAACTCTTCGTCACTGATCTCGAGCATGACGCGATGCAATTGTGTGCCAAAACTATAACGATAACTTCATAAAGAGGATAAATGTTAAGGGTAAAAAAGAAAAACAAACAAAAAAAATAAAATAGCTACTATCAGACATTAAACAAACATGTACAGTTTTATAAAGTGTGACACGTTGTTATGTAATGTACAGGATTTAATAAAGCAACGCTGCGTATTTGATATGTAGGTGTTTTAAGTTAAATATTTCTTTTCCGCTTTATGTAAACATTTTGAGTGTTTAGCTTTGGTTTTGTTTGGTTCTTATTTACATTTTTTCCCCTTTTCTTGCTGTTCAGTACTCAAGCAGTGTATAATGGCTTAATGCAGGTATTTTCTTTGACAAAATCAGTCTTAATGAAGACAGACGCCCAACCATTCCAAAGGATTGACGCATTGCATTTACTATAAATGTGCTGCTTGCATCAACCCAATGCATTTTTTTTCTTCGGTTATGACTAGAAGTCTGTCTCGACTGTGAGGTTTTACACATTGTGAGTTGTGCACAAGGTACGTTTCCTGTTGTCCCAAATCTAACCCCTTCTTTCTTCTTTTTGGGCTCTTTGTGCTCGGAAATGTTTAAAAGTTAAGGATGAATAAAGTCTGTCTTAGGCTTTTTTTTTCTTTTCTTTTCAAGAAGCAGCCATAAAAGTATAAAGTGGTTCTTGATTGTTGTTACCAAAGGCTTTGAAGGAAAAGATGAATGTTGCAGTAATTGTGAATCCAACACCATTTGTACTTCTGGGTTCAGTTTTACGTGCTGTAATTGTCGATCAGTGGATGTTGTGCTCGATATGGACCTCCTTTCGCTCAAGTAAGCGACTTTATTTTGTTTTTGTTGTTTTTTTACAGCGTAAAAATAACTTGATGAATCAAATCCAATTTATTCATAAAAGTAAAAGATAATTCAGAATTTGTGAGTGACAAAAAAAGAGTGGTATGTTATGAAAAATTGCAGGCCATATTTGTTGGTGGTCTAAGCTAAGCTGATATTTCTGCCCTTAAAAGATTAATCTGTTCTAGGTTATACAGCTCACAGTGCTGTCAGTGACCTCACCTTGAATACAATGAGGGAGCTTCTCACCAGCCTTTTGGTTCTGTTTCCTGTACCTGTTTGTCCTCAGTGTACCTCCTCAGTGTAACGTTGCTCTCTTGATACCTCTGTGTGTCCCTCTCTGCCCCTCACCATCAGTTGCCTGTTGTAGTGACTCCATGGTGCTGCTTCCCCTCTAAGCACCAGTATAATCTATACTGTAAATAACTCTCGACTCAGCTATGGCCAGTACATTCTTCAATGACCTCATTCTAACCTTCAGGTGTCACTTGTTTTTTCTCTCACAGCAAACCAAAATCACTACATTCGAGTATTACAGTTGTACATTTACTGGGATTCTACACACATCTAATGTGCTGGTCTTAGCTGCTCTGCTGTACCTTTTTATGGCATTATTTTTTACATGTTAGACAATATATTGTGACCATGTCCTATGCAAATATGAAAATTAACAGATTGTTGAATAATGTATGTTGTCATAACTTGTATGCATGAAATAGTGAAGTTTACATTTGGAAATAAATTCATAAAATAAGCAGCCATAATTTGTTTCGGCATACTTTCACTGTGTGACTTTTTATTGAACTGCAGTCATGGTGGCCATAATAGTAGGATATTAAAACAAGCGACTGTGTAACATTTTTACTAGTAGAGATATTAGTTAAGGGAATAGCTTAAAATTTCATGAAATAGTCTACTGTTAGTGCCCCAAAAGACGACAGCACTGTCAGGTCTCTATGAAGCTACTCCCTGCAAACAGTTAGCTTAGCATAAAGGCAGGAAACACTGATCATATATAAAAGATGGGCATAGCCACCTTATGGTGGTAGCCTTTTAGTAACTAGTGTCTTGGATGTTTTGGAGAAAGGAGTATAACCATATTTAGACACGAGGGTGGAATGCTAAGTAGTAACATTAGTAACATGTTGCTGGTAAAACGAAATGACAGCTAGTAGCTAGTAGCTACTAGCGTGATCGGTTCAATTCTTTGTTTTTCTTGGTTCAGTATGTAGTCCATCTTTTTTTT